GGCTGGCGCGGGGTTCTGGCGGCGGGAGCGCCGGCCTCGTTCGTGCTCCGTCCATCCATCACGTTTATTAACTCTGTGCTTGGACATGTTTTGCAGGGGAAATACACTTTTGCAGATGGTCTCGAATACAAAGATAAAAAATGGCATTACTGTGATGGCTACGACAGAAGATTTTATACAGAAATCTGTTCTGGTCTTAAACCAGCAGGTACTGAATTGCGTTTGCAATCCTAAGAGTCTGGAAGGAATTAAGCTAACAACTTTGCTTAAGAAAGATTAATTCGGCTACATGAGTAACATGGAGCAGAAATGCTCTGGCTAATTTCAGGACCCGACCATACGACGCTGCCAGAAGAATGCTGACACCACCTTCCACCAGCGCAGCGCAGGATGCAGCATTACATCCACAGCGTGGTCTCTTCTTGAGTGATGACCTGCAGGACGGGGCTTTGTTATCTACAGCTTTTGATACACGATTAACCCTTTTGTACATTTACCTTCGCTGCGTTAGCAGTGTGCTTTCCATATAGAAAAGTTGAGCAAAAGCAATTAGTTTACATCCAGGACATCAAATAAAGTTTGAATGCGTCCGTCCCGCGTAGCTTTTTTGTAGATACCAAAATAAACGTTTGTGTCCAGTCCATATTTTTGCTAAAAACTTTTATAATATTATTATTTGTCTGTAGTCCAAAGGTGAAAAGATTTATAAGGAACGAGTGAGTAAAATATGTAACGTAATACATAAAATACTCTTCTTTATACACAGAATATTTTAGTGATGACATGTAGTTCTGTGAGGCCAGCAAGACTCTCCTGGCCCCGTTTTGGAGTTCGGGGTCATATTTGTAATGTTAGCTTAGTGGGCTGAATCACAGGACCGTGAATGAGGAAATCAAAGTGATAGCTTTTTATCACACGCTTTTTGTGTATGGGTTTTTCCATTTCCATTTTCTGCAAAGTTGGCAAAATGTTTTATAAAATTTATTGTAAGGTGACTGCATTGTTTTTATAGCAAATGCCATGGAGATGTAATATTTGTTAGTGATCTTGATCAAAGGCACAAATGCAAAAAAAAAAAAAAAAGGCAAAATAAAGCAAACCCTTTGTTTTTTTTTCTTCAGGCATTTCTCAGCTTACAAATCTGGATCCTCCCAAAAAAATCCCGGAAGGATGTTATGACTGTGGTGATGGATTCTATAATCCTGAAACCAGAGTTATTGTTGACTACAAACTCAAATTTCTGAGAAACGCAGGTATGATTAACTACTTCTGCAAGGTAAACTGAGTTTATTTGTCATATCTTCTAGGATGCGTGATTAAAGCTAAAACATAAAAAAATTATTATTTGGTTCTGTTATCACTGAGCTAAAATATTTTTTACTTATTTATTTTTATCAGTGATTTATGTATCCCCAGAGTTGTATAAATCACATCTTGCAAAATTACAATGAAGTATTCCCAAGCAGATATGAATAAATATGTTTTATTGCCATTTGGTATGTTAATCTCAGGAAAATCTTCGATCTCTTCCATTACGATCTCAAGCAAGGGAGTGGTGGTAAGGTGTACATCGTTGATCCTGAAAGCTAATAAACTCTGTGTTGTGAACCAGCAGAGTGCTTAAGCATGTGCTTATCTCTACACGTTAGAATAGTCCGTTTTATTGAACTGAGTCTTAGGGCTATGTTTAAATACCATGCTGAACAGGAAACTTTCTTGTCACCTTGGAGAGCTGTGGTTTGAGTAGAGTCTGGCAAATACTGGGTCTTGCGGGTAAGTCCCCAAATTAATAAGCCTTGGGGAAAATTAGTTCTCATCAAGCCAAAAGAGAAACTTTGCAAATTAAAAACACCCAGAAGATCCCCAAACAGTTGACACTGGGATAACTCAAAAAATGTAATCTGACCTGAAACAAACGCTTTGCGTTCTGGCTATTTAACCTTTGTGTTTATCACCTTTTAAGTGCAGATTTTTTTTTAAATGAAAGTGATTTCTGAAAGCAACAACCCCCCCCATTTTTTTTTTTTTTTCAAATGTCCAAATTACAAGACCTGTTTTTTCTAGAAGACAGAACATTTCATTTTCAGTGTGCCACAGTTTAACAGTTTTGTTGCTTGGAAACTCCATTTTTCAGCAAATTTACTATTTGTTGAAAAAAATTCTGTTCAGCTCTACTTTCAAGAGCTTTTATAAGTATGCACTGTGATATTGGAGGAGGGAAGTGAAGGGGGGGTTAAATGAATTGGAGATACCATCTGCTATAAAATATACCCTATGATACATGGCCTGTTTTATAAACGTTGAATAAAAACTGATCTAGATTATTACAAATGGCATTGATCCAAAATACTGGAATGCAGTGGGCCTACTGATGAGGAAGATAAGCAACATGCTTTCCAAAAACACAGGAACCTACACAGATTAGTACAGGAGGGAACGCCTTGGAATTCAATTTATTGTTTTTTAATCTGTTCTTTGAACTCATTGTCCTTTATGACATTTATCTCAAACCCTACAAATTATATCAATCAATATTCGCTAACCAGACCAGCGCAGCGTGCAGTCTCACGGAGTCGTTGGAGATGTGCTTTGTGTGGCCGTTCCATTGAGAGCCCTGTACACAAAGTTAACCTTGTTGATGTGAGTGTGAAGAAGGAATGTGTCATGTAGGCCAGACCCTTCCTCTCGAGAACATGAACACAATTGAAAAACCCGGCACTTGTTCAACATCAGAGGAACTCTTACCGCCCCAGGAGAGATGATTCAGGGCACAAGGCCACTGCAGTAAAGAAAAAAAAAAAATTAAAAAAACCCCAGCTGTAAGCAGAAGAAACTGAGGAAGAGGCTGGGATGACAGGGAACAGATCCAGAATTACTCCATTATAGGTTGGGCAGGAAGGAGCAGGAAAACCTCCAGGCTTCCAGCCAAGTCTTGAAAGCATCAAAAGCAGATGGTAGGAAGCATTCAGGAAGTTCTTACAACAGCTTGACAGGTTTACCAAAATGACACTATCTTCCTCAGGTCTGGCAGCAGGATTTCAGAATACTCCAGTTCTCACCTTTCACCCTGGCCCTATTATGAAGCAATTTCTGATTGTTCCTCGGCTGTTTGTGAAAGAGGGCAAGGAAGCATACAGCCTTGGCACCGACTTGCCTCCGAACTGGCAGCATCCAGGTACCATTCCAGGAGAGAAGAAAATAGACGCCATTCGAAACTACCGAGTTTGCTTCCACCACTTCTTTGTCAAGATGAGTGGATGTAGAGTACCGTAGAGACTCCTGTTAAATTTGGCAAGCCTTGCATTTCACTAGCGTGGAGATCTGATACTCATTTACTTAAAGAGCTCTTACTGTTAAAGCAGTGCAAAAGCCCATCATGAAAACATAATCAGGCCCAGGGAATGAAATGACAGCAACAGTTTTGTTACATGTTTTTATCTAGCAAAGTTTTCCAAATTCTCATTACAATCTTGCAGTTATTACTCTGTCCCTAAACCTCTGTTTCCTCGGGGATGCTCAAATTTCTCTTGAGTCTCCATGTGTTCTTCAACCTTTTCTTTTTTCCAGTATTGCGAAGTACGCAAAATTGGACACATAAATAAGAATGGGAGTGCTCGTTTGTAAGAAGATACGTTGTTTATTTTGAATAGATACTGGGACTAGACTCCTGTTTCACTAGGAGTATTACTTTTTTTTTTTCCCCCCAGAAATAGGACTCCTGGCACCTTTGTAACAGAGTTTGGTCAATAGAAAGATGGGAAGATTTCCCAATTTTTCAGTGAAAAGTAGAAAATATATGATGTTATGTTCAATGCAAAGCAGGGAGGTACGAGAAGAGCTGTGCCATTCAGGTTTTAGGACACCTGAATATCGGAGAAGCCCATAGCTTTCAAAGAGAAAATACTGTCAAAAATAGACATTTTCTTACGCTGAGATGGAAAAGATTATAGGAGATTGCCTGGGTCACCTCTCTTTTGATGAAAAGCAATGATACTTCTCATGAAAATTGCCCTGGTTCTCCTGTGGTTCTCCCAAGGATAGGTTAAATAATATAAAACATGCTTTTGCTCTTCGTAATATGAGAATATTTGTGCTACTACTTTCATATTCCATCTTCAGGTTTAATTAGTATGTGTATGGTGCACAGGGTAACTTTCTATACTGCAGTCAATATTAACCTGAAATATATGCACCTCTTCATATAACATCCAGAGCAGGAAGACACAAAGCCTGCCTTTACACTAAAAGCTCAGTCAGGTAACTGAATTAACATGCATGTTATTGAGAGCAGGATTAGGCCCAGAAAACCAGGACAAGTGCCTTACTAAGAGGAGAGGTTTTGGCATTGCTGCAATCCCAAACCAGCCAGCAGTCAGCTTAGGATTTCTACAAGCCTGAAAGTCTTGTAAAAAGCAGCAGGAAAAATCCTGCTGCTTCAGGAATCATTATGAGCTGAAAAGGTCAAGATTCAAGAACATTATTTTATTATAGCTTAGAAAAGTCTGGGGTTAAAATGCCTGAGGTTCCTCGGTTGTGAGGCTGACCCAACTCCATAGGCAAGGGTTCAAAGCCATTTTAATTCTAAGCCTTAGTAATCACAGACTTACAGTTTCCTCACATTGTTACCTTGGGATGAAGGTTCTCATGCTTGGTCTGAAAGAATTTAGAAGCAAAATGGTTTGGAAAGTCGGCAGCGATGTATTCATCCATTTCAGGTTTATCCAAGTATGCAAATCCATGAGATGAATCTCCTACATTTAAACTTTTGTGTCTTACAACTCAGATCTGACTTGCACCAAGTGCTTTTTGGGAAATGTGGACTTTGACTTGTCTGAAAAATGTAGCTGAGAAACAGAGCCATAACCACTCAATAATTATGCAGGGTAATATTTCTGTACCTACCCTCATGTACCCCAAATACATGCAGATGTTTGCGTGCTCTTTCTCATAAACTACTGGAGAACTGGGTGTGGGATGAGGACCTGGCAATTTTTCAGGCCTGGAGTATTTCTGGAAAAAAGACAGCAAGTTTAACTTAAAGTCGACTGTGGTGCAGGAAAAAAGATTGACTGCACTTAGGGATCATGCACGGAGCTTTATTCCCTGTTCTTCTTTGAAATTGCCCATTCTGATGATGGAGGGAGTGGATGAACAGTCTGATTCCAGGCTAGTCCCTAGTCATTGCCTAAGAATGTAAGAGTTGTTTTGGCAGATGCCCTTAGCAATGGAGAGGAAAGCCCCAGCAATACACATACAGAGGGAATATAGTATTTTTGTTCGAATGAATTTAGCTTCCCATAGATTTAAATGTCTACTTATAACGCAGGACCATTTAATCTTTTGTACATTTGTTTCTTTTTTATTTGACTTAAGATACTGAATTTAGATGAGGTTTAGTTCCTACATATTGAAACTCTTAAAAGCTCTTCAAATAATTGTTCTTTGGATACTTGTTAAGCTAAAGAAATCAGTTTTGATCGGCAGTAAAAGTTCATGCTATTTTAAGTGCAATGCTATAGCTATTTTCTGTTGTATATTTAATCATTTTGAATTATATGTCATGTAAAAGATTTTAGCTCTGGGGCATTTGCCAGATGGCTGATTCTGCATTTCACACAACAAAAGAAATAATGTTTGTGTAAAGCTCTTAAAAATAGTTGGTAATCAGTATATTCTACAACGAATAGGATCCAGACCTGTTTGGGAAAAAAACCCAGCTTTTGCAGAAATTAATTTAGAGGATTTGGTCTCTACCTCTGGGCTCCGAACAAAACAAATTGTGTCTATTGTTTGCTGATTTTTTAACATTTAACAAGTTAACTGAATTGTAAATTTTACTCATTTTTATGTTAAATGCCATTTATTGCAATCCATTGATCTTTTTCTCTTTACTTTGTCTGACAAACTTATTTCTGAAAACAGGGTTTTGTAGAACAGAGCCAATACTACTCTCTGTTTACATAAGTAGAGCATACAAATGTGAGTAGCCCTTTGCTTTTCTTGCAACAGCTGGAGTGCTTGTCCTTTTTACTGCTGACTCCTCTTTCTGGCCTCTTTGATTCATATTCCTCCACAACACCATTGCAAAAAATGTTTTCTCTCTCCTATATGGCACTCAGCTTGTTTTCTTTGCCCACACGGCTCTACACAAGTCCATACAAGTTCACCTTTTGGCCTTGTCTCCTCTATCTCCCATATACACGTTCTTCTCTTGTGTCTAGTCCCAGGACATAGTTTTTCTGCCCACATTCAT